AGGTAATTTAAATTGCCAACATAGCGAGGATCCCCAGACCTCCCACTTTATCAGCTCATATCATTCACCCGTGACATTCTTGTGTTCTGACAATGCAGCTATGCCGGGTTTTCTGCTTTGCTGGAGTCCCAGAAACAGCTTTTTTGGGATGTATGACATGCCAGCCAGCGTGTTCTGCCCAATTTAATATTGTATTATAATGGGCTTGTTTGTAGATGTGTGCTATAGCAACTGTTTCACTGTCTAAAGTTTGCTTTCGAGATATACTAACAAATGTTTCTCTCGCAACCATCAGCTTACGCCTCAGACATCCGAAAATTGCTCAGTGTAAAGTTGTCCTGGTGAATGAATGTGGGTGGAGCAGCTTTTCTTACAGGGAGCCCGGCTCTCTGTGGCTCTGGTGTCCTCCAGCTCGATCAGGGCTCTCATCATGGGTGTCAGGGGACTGGACCCATCTCTTCGGCCGGCCTGGCCAACGCTCACCTCCTGGTGTCTAGTCTGAGGCAGAAGCTGCTCACACTCAGGAGGAGATGCACACCTGCAGAACAATAATAGCAAATAAACCACTGACAACTGAATGTGTCTAAAAAAAACATAACCACAAAAATGAAAACCCACCTCCAGCTCCCGCCGGCTGAAGAGGCATCCACAGAGCTTCCAGTTCCTGATGATTGATCATTTGATGGATACGGTGACCTCTTGTGGATGCTTGCTTGGCTAGTTTGAGGGTATTGTGATTTTCTGCCACTGCTCAGCTGGTCAGACACAGGACAGGGTGACCTCCTGCGGGTGACGTCAGGTTCTGCCTTGCATTTTGTGGGCGACAGCAGCAGGTCCGGATGGTGGAAAAGACTGTGGACATGTTAAAAAGGATTATATTATCCTAGGTGATCAAAATAATAGCATGTTCTCCTCATATTTTTTGAAAGAAAAAAAAAATCTTATCTTAAAACTTGCTTTTTTTTTTTAAATATATTTTTTTGGGCTTTTGCCTTTATTTAGAGCAGTGGAGAGAGACAGGAAAGGGGGGAGAAGAATGAGGGAGAGACCTGCAGCAAAGGGTCATGAGCGGGACTCGAACTCACAACCGCTGCGTTGGGGACTGTAGCCCCTGTTCATGGGTCACCCGCTCAACCAGGTGAGCTATACGGGCGCCCTAAAATTTGCTTTTTAATTAGGCGTAATGCGCTAAATTTAGTATTATGAAAAAAAAATCTTTAAATTATTTTATCTGTAGTGTTTCTTTTCTTTTACTCATTACTTTTAATTTGTTACTTTTAATTAAATGTTATTTATCCACGATGCCTATAAAAAGTCCTCAGTGCCCTTGGAACGTTTCCCTCCAGCACTGAATCCTGCTCAGTTTAATTTGCCATTTACAAAAGAGACTCTTTCATGTCAACGTAAAACCTGATTTCTGCAAAATACTGTCAATTAATAAATATAACAAATGGAAAATTAGTGATCGCATAAGTCTTCAAGCCAGAATTTAGTAAATGCACCTTTGGCTGCCATTACAGCATTGAGTCTGTGTGGATTAATCTTAATAAGTCTTGCACAGCTGGACACTTCAATTTCACCTCATTCTTCTTTGCAAAACTGCTAAAGCTCTGTCAGGTTGCACAGGGATCATGTGTGAAGAGCTCTTTCAAGTCCAGACACAAATTTTCAATTGGATTGAGGTCTGTGTTCTCACTCGGCCACTCCAGAACATTCACCTTGTTGTCTTTAAACCATTTCTGTGTAGCTTTTTGGCTGTATGCTTCTGGTCATTGTGTTGCTGGAAAACAAATCTTCTTCCAGGTGGTAGTTCACCTGCAGACTGCATCAGGTTGTCCTGCAGGATTTCCCTTAACTTTGGTGCATTCATTTTCCCTTGACCTTTACAAGCCACCACCATGCTTTACGGTGGGGATGGTATGTTTGTGATGATGTGCAGTCTCTAGTCTGATGGCAAAAAGTAAAATTTTGGTCTCATCAGACCATAGAATCTTCTCCCACTTGACCTTAGAGTCTATCACATAACTTGTGGTAAATCTAGCTGAGATTAATATAAGCTATTAGCATTTTTCAACAGTGCCTTTCGAACAGGCAACAGCTGTTGTAGGCACAGTCTCTCCCATCTCAGCAGGAGAAGGTTTTTCAGAGGAGTCATAGGTGTCTTGGTTTCCTCCCACAGTAGTCACTTTCTTGCTCGGTCACTCAGTTTTTGAGGACAGTCTGCTCTGGGCAGATTTATGTATGTGCCATAATCCTTTCTTTATAAATGATGGATTTACCATACTCCAAGGGATAATCAATGACTTGGAAATTTGCTTGTGTTAATTCACTGATTCATGCTTTCCAATAACCATTTAACCGAGTTGTGTGGAGTTTTCAACATTCTTTGTATTATTGTTGTTGTCAATGCTGTTTTAATCTTGATATGTAAAGCACTTTGGTCTGCATGTTTGTATGAAAGATACTATGTAAATGAAGTTGAAGTTGAAGAAGAATTTTAGCATTTAGCAGGCATCATTTGCTATGAACCTTCAAACATCATACTGATAAAAATAGAACTTCAAATGATAGGACATGATAAGACAGGTTGCAATACGTTTAAAACCTTCCTGTGTCGGGTCTATGTGTTAGTAGAGGATCCTTCAAATTCTTCTGATGTCTGACGTGCTTGCTGTGCTTACCCAGCCCCCGAAGGTTGAGTGTTACAGTGCGAGGCATAGCGGGCCCTGGCCTGGTTCTCATGCTCCAGCTGCTTCACCTGGGACTCCAGTTTGGAGATCACTCTAAGAGGTTCAAATACAAACACACACAAACACACGTTAAATAAGCTAATTCAACATTGTTAAACCCTCTGAACCCACAAACCAGTCGAAAGGTTTAAAAGACCCGCTTTCTTTCTCAGAAAAGAAACAATTGTCATGTTTTCAACATTCTGAACATATGATGTGTAATATAGGTTTTAAATAAGTTTAAATTTAATGTTTATCAAAATAAATTCTACAAGACTCGGTCACAGTGGTGCACAGTGGTGTTAAGAATGCCTAGTTTGTTTGTAGAGGTTGTAAAAATGTAATTAGGCCTAGTGAAACAGTCTATAGCATGTGTGGCCTGCATTTCTTCCCAATATTAGTAACACCTGTGGGCGTGTGGAAAAATGTTGCATATGTTGATTTAAGTTTTTTTTTGTCTTTGCAGATTTTGTAATGCAAATACTCAAAAACATTCAACATTTGTTTTATATTCATGATTTATGGCATTACAATTTTGTTATACTGCGCAGACGACTTTTTTTTTGTACTGGTAACACTCGTGGACACTTGACACTTATCCTCAAGTTCAGCTTCCAAAGAGGTGCAGGACTTCATAACGTAGTGAAGAATGGGTCCACAATATATAAAAATGTGAGCAAAACCACCCAGAAACTACTTGGGGATCAGAGGGTTAAGATCCACAAACACACAGTGAAATGACAGAGGCAGGCACTACAGGGAGGTTGGCATACAGTAGAGGTTTTCCAAGAGGGAGTCACAAGACGCCATACTGGCTCAGTGTTAGTGTTTTTCCACAGCAAAGGTGAAGGTGTTCACCTTGCTGACTGATGGAGCTCTCATCATAAACCAGGGCCCATGTCTATTGCCTGTAGCTGTTTTTAGTGAACCGTACCTGTTTCTGTTTATACTATTCCTCTGTGCAATACATAAAATTGATTTGCTAGTTATATTAGCACTGAACATGCCCATATCTGGTTAATGGAGAAGACCCGCTAATGACAGGTAGAATATATGTAAAGTGTACATTATGTATTGGCAATTAGACATCCTGCTCTCTAAATATCCGCCTCTGAAAAATCCAAATCTGTCGACCACTAAACCAAAGGATTAATCCATGACGAAAAGAATTGTTAACCGCAGCTCGGTTAATAAGAATTAGAAGAACTAATGAACTAAACGCAACCTGGACCTTGATAAGCAGGTGGATGGATGGCTGGATTAGCCAATTAAACAAATTAAATATTTAATATTAGGTCTGTATATGGATCGTATGTTAAGTCAGAAGTTGTTGTTGTTTTTTTTTTTTTTTCTACAATCGGAGAGACTGAAAAAATAAGGAAATATGTACGACCTTTGCATTTTTTTTCAAAGAACCTGAAGTCAAGGCAATCATGATGAAACATTGCCAAAGGACTAACCTCCTCTGAGACACTAGTTCAAATCATCTTAACTCTTAAAAAAATAAACAAAATGCTTATGTGGCTTGTAACAAGTCGATTTACAGGAATGCTAAATGGTTAAAAATGCCTTTATGGAGAAATGTTTGCTCGACTTCATTTGTTTGAACAATGAATCAATTATCGATTGAAAAATTGTTTGCATCCCTAAAAAAAAACTATGCAGTTTAAGTTAAAGTCAATCGTCCTGATGTGTTTTTTCTCATAAGTCAGTTTGCCTCATTGCTTCTGTACAGAGAACATGACTTAAAGCCGACCTTAATCTCAACATTTTTTTTTCCTGTGCCATAAATATTCTCTCAGTTATCATCATCTGGCTCTAATTTGCACCTCTTGTTTCACTTTGACAGGCCTCAGCGACATCTCTTGTAGGTTTTCTGCACTCTCTGTGTGACTCCATTACAGCCTTAAGCTGCAAACATTCTTGCTGCAGTTTACACCCTTTTCTATCAACTTAGTCTCCAAAAAAAAAAAGAACAGGCTTGACTGACACCCCCTGTGCATTCAGTAAATGTACAGTTTGTCAGGTTTACTTGTGCATCATGGTAACTTCTCTTCTACTTTGCTATGGGCTCTTTACACACTTACAGGACTCTGGACATCTACATCTTTTTACTTCCTTGCCTGCCCGCTTAAATCCTTCTAAGACACATATATTGATGTTGTGCGAGCTGCATCTGCCATCTGTCCATGAATTCAGTAATTTGACTCGACAGACTTTATCAATACAGAGTCCATGTGCTGCTTCCATTGGTGCCAATTTGCAAGAACAGCTGAAACTGCAAAGGAAAGTTGCTGTGTAGCGTCAGAGGCCAGTGCTATTATCTACTGTCAATAGTGCAGGGCACATCATTAGGCTTTATTAATTAATCCTCTCTTCTCCGTCTCCCTACTGTCTGCCACACTCCGTTGCAGCTCTTTAAATAAATTGCTGGAACCAGCCTGGGGCACTGTGACAGCAACAGCCTCAGGCTAATAACTACACTACAGCTATGAAACCACATCTGGGTGTAGATTTTAAAGGGGCGCAAGGGGACACATTCTCCTCAATATGTATAATTTACTTATTCTGAAAAACAATGCAAGGGTCTTTTTCCTGCAGCACTTGCTCTTTTTATACCCACTAAATAGGAATTATTATATTTAATACAACCACTCAATCTTTTGTGGACTTAGATACATTTATATTCCATTTTCAATCTGAATTTTCTTTACATAAACAAAGACATTTCCAATTTAAAGTGATGTAGAAAAGGCACACATTGGTGCATTAAGATTCACCAAAGTGCAGGAAAGTAAATGTTTGACTCATTGTCTTAGGGGAGAATACCCATGGTGTCACCACTGCTATGAGCTCTCTATGTAAATACAACGACCCAGAAAGGCAGCATTGACTGTTTACATGTAGTTAGTAGTTTGGAACCGTTGCTGTGTACTGAATTATTCAAAAACATCCCATTTTCGCAGGTAGTTAGATGAGCTAATCAATACTACTCTGAAAACTGTACAGTACATATACCTCCTTACATTAAACAAATCAATTAGCTAGTTAGCTTTAGAAGTGCTGGTAGGCACATTTTTAATTTGGCTAATCCATCTTCCATCCTCCATTCTTCATAGTTGGAGAACAAAAGTGAAACAGTATTTTAATAAGAACGTAAAGTGATATTTAAACAAATAGCAGAACACACACAGAACACATACAGATCTAGTGAAAACATCCACCAGCTTGTGTTGGGTTACTTTACAATCAATCCACTCACCTCTTCAACTCAGATATCTTATCATTGGCATCGACCAGTTTGTTCTCTGTTGATACCAAGTTGTTCTGTAAATAACAAAAATGTCAAAACTGTATTAGGAAAAATGAAGACAAGACAGCTAGAGGAGTGATTTTGTTAAGATGTTGTGTGTAAATCACCTTCATTCCCTCGTGCTCCTTCATAAGCGAGTCATATTCTCCAAGTAGCTGAGAAAACAAAGACACACAGAGCTAAATCATGAAGGCCGATATCACTGTTGACAGAAAGTAAGGTGAAATAGAACAGGGATGCCCCAGCTGGACTTTTTTCTCTCTCGCTCTGATAGCTAAACTTGCACCAACCTGACACCTTTTTCTCTAATGTAAAACCTTCATAAATGCATAATGGAACAAATATGTTATTATGAATGTAACAAGAACGAAATACTTTAGTATAGCAACAACATGTGGAATGCAAGTGCAGCAAAAAGTCTGCTGTGACTTATGAAAGAGACACACACCAACGCAAGTGAAGACATTCAGTATTTGAATCCGTGATATCAAGAACCAGTGTCTTTCTTCCATTTTCAAGGACCAGTAGGTACAACATGAGCCTTTGCTGGAGCCATTCAATCATTTGGATCTGCTGGAAACTTTTGTCTGTCTCCTCCCCAAATTTCATGGCTGTGGGAGTGACACTGCTGGAAGGGTCCCCAATAACAAGAAAGCAAACTCTGTATTGCAGTTCACTTAAATGAGTTTTGAGAATTGCGTAACAAAATCTAACACTGCTTGTTCGAGCGTTTCAAAACAATGTGATCACACAAGCAGCAGGAAATACACCACAGTACATTCAGTTAAACTCTGGTCGTGTGAATGGTACTGTCATCTCTTCTGGTTTCACATTAAGTAAAGAGTTCATATGCAAAGCAGATCAGTCACATTTGGCCGATTTCCAAACTACTTAGTAAGATCAGAATCAAAGCAGCTAGTGATCGGATGGATCCGACGGGTTTATCGTTGAATAGACAAAACTCTTACACACCTTCTCAGTGGTAATAACATAAAATCATATATTCCCCAGTCCCTGATTAGATCAGCTAACAACGGAAACAAATATTTTATAAACTAAATCTAATTTGAGCAATTCACTTTGCTAGTAAGCAAACAAATATTGACACTAATGAGGCTCCAGTGAATAAGAAGAGTTTAGAGATGATTTCTTCACTGACTGAACCATTTGCACTACCATCACCTCAATAAGCTGTCACTATATTACACTACAACCAGTGTACAAAGGTTAATTTTTAAATATCTCATTTTATTCATACTGTATTATGATCCTTGTATGGCACTAATACAAAGGTGAGAGACAAACATCTTTTCGGTTCCTCTGTATGTCCTGGATACAAAGAGAAATTGACAACAAAAATCGTTGATTCTATTCTGTATGACTTTCTAGATGTACTTATGATATCCCCATCTTATCATATTCTCCGTCAGACTCACATCCTGCAGCATCTTGTACTCTCTCTCTCTCCTGGCTTCTTTCTCGTCTGCCTCCCTGCAGGCCTTCTGGGCCGCCTCCTCCAGCTGCCGTACACGCGTTTTCAAACGAGCTACCAGGGTGTCCTTCTCTTTGCCCAAACGTTTGCTTTCTTCCAGTCGCTGCTGCAAGGACTTCACAGTGGCACCCGCCACGGCATAGCGCTCTGGCCACTCTGCCTAATAACCAAAAGTCACATCAAAATGAAGGTTAATTGGTTTTTACCTTTATATGATTAACATCGTAAAGAAGAAGTAAGCTGAAGAAAACACCCTTGATGAAGTGGCATCTTAAAAAGCTCTCCATAACAAATGAGGTCCATGCAATATACCCTCCTGTGTTTGCAGGTATTAGAAGGCTGCGTTTAATAATTTAAATAGTCTGTCCTAAAACAAATAAAAAGAAATTTAAGACCTCAAGAGACATAAATTAACCTGGAAGAATTAATGTTATTGGAAGTTGCATCAAAGCCGCAAATTTAGAAAATAAAAAGCTGTTCTTGTATAGCTGGCGTCATTTAAGTGACACTTTTTATTTGTTAATGTCACTTATTACTTTTTCAACATTGTACACCCTTACAATGACCCACACAAAGACTCTTAGGTTTACATTAAGACCTCATCAACTCAAATCTCCCACTCTAATGACTTGTCGGACATCTTTAAGACCTGTGAGTATAGCTAAGTGAACATGAGAACAGACAATGAGAATCAAAATACCCTTATATCAATATAAAGACATGCACACCTGAAATAACATAAAACATGCCATTTGCTTTATCAAGACTAATTATTAGAAAGAATGTAAAACAAAGTGAGGACTGATACCAGTTTTTTCTCCAGCGAGCTGTTTGTTGCCTCCAGTTCTTGAATCCGGCCCGTGGCCTCAGCCAGAGCGTTTTCTAGATGTTTGCACCTGCACAAGAACAACAACAAAGTAAATTAAACTAATCCAAACAGAAGTAACAGGAGAAATGTGGGATCCCAATAATCATTTGTATCGTAAAAATCAAGGGGAGTTGCGCATGTTTCCTGGTAATTTCAACATAATTTAAATGTTTCAATCAGACCTTTGCCAACTTGTGTCAAGCTAAATGGATTACCCATTATGGTGCTTCTGTTAAAACTAGACTAAAACTAAAACCGCCTAATTTTGTGTAGCTTATCCTTTAACAGCTCTTACCCCTCGAGGACTGAACTCCACAGAAATATGAAGATGTTTAATATTATCAGACACCGAGACATTAGCAGCACATCCTCTGGATTCTGGTAGTTGGGCCTCGGTGAATCAGATGGTTTTTCCAGGACATCGCAGAGATGTGCAATCAGATTGATATTTGGAGAATGTCTGTCATCTTCTTTGTCATGTTCTTCAACTGTCTCAGAGCATTACCCGGCTGAAAGAGGCCATCAGGGAATACTGCTGCCATGAAGGCATGCTAGTGGTCTGCAGCAATGTCTACGTGTCAAAGTAACAACCACATGAATGCAGGATGCAGCGTTTCCCAGTAGAACATCAGCTAGCATCACACTGCCTCCACTGGCTCCACTGGCTTGTCCATACTGCATCCTGCTGCCATCTCATCCCTGAGTAACCGACTCCCTCAGTCCACATGATGAAAAAGAAAACGTGATTCTTTAGACAGTCCACCTTCTTCCTCCAGGTTCCAGTTCTGATATCCACCGGAGGAGCATCTGGCAGTAGAAAAGGTCAGTGTGGACACTCTGACCGGTTTGCAGCTACACGGATCCATACACAGCAAACTGTGATGTTCTGTGTGTTCTGACACCTTTCTATCACATCGCATTGAGGATTTCAGCAGTTTGTGTTTTGGGAGCTCTTCTGTAAAACTGAACCACACAGGCCACAGCCTTCGCTCTTCACCAGCATCAATGAACCTTGGGCCTCCATGACCCTGTCTCCAGTTCACTTCTCGTAACCACTGCATACCAGCAACAACTGTGGGGTGTTTCTGTCACCTTGCTGTCTTGGAGATGCTCTGATTCAGTCATCTAGCCATCACAGTTTGTCAAAGACTCTCAGATCTTCACTCCACCCATTTTTCCTGCTTCCACCACATCAACGTCAAGAATTGACTGTTAACTTGTAGCCTTGTATATCCCACCCACTGACAGCTGCCATTGTAACAAGACAATCAGTGTTACTCACTTCAGCTGGCAGTGGTTGATCATTGTTAATGCACTGGTTAGTGCAAAAATGCAAAATGTAAAAGTTAATTCTGAATACAGGAAACAATAGTTGAGATCCAATTTTTAGCGGCTTTCTCAAAAGCTCTCAACCACATTTCACAACCAACCTACTGAGGACCAAATGTCAGATATGGTCCAATGCTCCAGAAAAAGCAATTAAGTAGTGCTCATACCGTTTGTTTTTGTGTTTTTCTTTTTTCTTTTTGTATTATAGTGTAATACCAAATTGTATTTTGTATTCTGTTTTGGGATAAAATTGCAGCTTGTTACAACCTTGGAAAAAATAAAAAAATAAAATAAAGGGTCGTGGGGGGCTGGAGTCTATCCCAGCTGACTCAGGGTGAAGGCAGGGGACACCCTGGACAGGTCACCAGTCTATCACAGGGCTACACAGAGAGACAGACAAACAAGCACACTCACATTCACACCTACGGACAATTTAGAATCACCAATTAACCTCAGCATGTTTTTGGACTGTGGGAGGAAGCCGGAGAACCCAGAGAGAACCCACGCTGCACGGGGAGAACATGCAAACTCCACGCAGAAAGAGGTGTCCTCACTGGGACGCGAACCGGCAACCTTCTAGCTGCGAGGCAACGGTGCTAGCCACCGAGCCACCTTGCAGCCCTAAATAATGATCGTAATAAACGAATTAAACATAAAGACATATAGACAGCACAGACAAACCTTTCTGTGAGGGCCTGGTTGCTCGTCTCTAAATCCTGGGGCAGATCTCTGAGTTTGAGTTTGTCTCGCAGGATTTGGATCTCAGACTCATAATAAGCTTTCAGGTCAGCCACATGTCGAGAGTGCTTCTCTCTCAGGTTCTGCCTTAGTCTGAAAAAAAAGTAAAGGAGACAAATTAAACTTTCTAGGTTGAATTAGTACATATTAAGAGAAATAAAGAATATTAAAACAGCTAAACCACTATCCTGGGGGCCAAAATGAGTGATTATGTAAATAGATATAACAAAAAAAAAAAAAAGCTACATTTAGAGATTTGATGACATCCGTGAGTGTTTCATTATTGTACAATATGGACTCTTTCTGTGTGTAGAAAATATCAAGTGTGGCTGAGGTGATAACAGTGTTTGGAAGATGTTTGATGTCTTCAGGGAGCCACATTATTCATATCCTGTATATATTCACTTTATTTATACTTACACTTTATTAGTGGTAATGATTAAAGGTAACCATGAGCCAGATCATTTGGCTATGGGTGCATTTATAAACTCAAATGAAATGGTCAGAGCATCATAAGAACATTCGTTTAGAAATTCAGTTTCAAAACATTCAGAGCTCAGGTGGATTTAGACATGTCGAGCTGCAGCCAAACTCTGTTTTATTTCATTTTCACCCTTTCTTTAGCTGAATCTTGGTGGGAGGAGAAGTGCACCAAACCTTTAAGAAAACTATTAATATTGCACAGTAAAAACTCCTGCTTTAAATGTTTAAAGTGAAGCACGAAAGAAAGGGAATTTAAAATAAAAACTGAAAATAAATTAATGGTAATGCCACTCTGAATTTGTTCATTTTTCCTCTTAAAAAAAAAAGAAAAAAGAAAAATGAGAGTACCAGACCAGAATATGCAACATTAAAACCTGACTGATACCCATCCCTCATGTGCATTTCTGTCTGTAGTGTAACAGGTATTCTAGCTGTATTGCTTGTAGTGAAAGGTTTTCTGTTTTCCCATAGAAGTGTTGTATATTGTTCAAACTATAAGAGGCAAATATGAGTAATAATTTTGAGCAATATTTATAAAACAAAGCAAACCACTTCATTAGTTTAGCAGCTAACTTAATAGCTACTCTCAGCATGAGCGTCCTGCTGTTACATATGTAGGTTTCACTCACAGAGACAGGACGACGGGATCCTCTAGTGATGACGCTCTCTCCATGTGTGGACCAACGGCAGGCCGCAGAGAAGCACCAGAGACTGAACAAGGCTTCAGGGTGCTGGTGTGGGTGTGGCTGCCCTCTTCCTCGCTGGCTAAGGGGGCACTGGATCTGCGCTGCTGGCTGGCTTTGTGAGAGGGCTGGGTCTTCTCCTGGGAGGTAGACAGGACTGCCTGGGACACGATTCCCCATGAGCTGTGCATGTTAGAGGGGGAAAGTCCAGCAGCAGAAACACTGGAGGTATCAGAGATGCAGTCAGTGTCTCCGGGATTGGGACTGCACTCCACCATGCTGTCAGGGGTTACAGGGGTCCCGACTCTGGGGTAGAGGTGGGGCTGAGCGGCGAACGAGGGGCTGCTGAAGTGGGAGGGCGAGGTGAAGCCAGAGGTGCGATCTGATTGCCGCATGTTGGCCGCTGGGTCCAACGTCAACACCTGACGCAAAAAGAGTTTTTAATTTTCCTCAAACTTTGCTTAAAATACAGAACATGACATGAAAAGCGGGCATCATTATAGTAATTTATCTATTTATTTTTAAATCTACTATGACTATATTACATATGTGCAATGAATGCAAGAAAAGAAAGATAAAATATATATTTTTAACTATATAAAATACAAATAAATAAAGGTATAAACTAGTAAGACTACTAAAATAATACATTAAGGATGCAAGTATAAATGAATACATAATTTTAATGAAACACATACATTAGATAATTATGAAAACATATAAAAGGAAAAAAGTGTAATAGTGGAGTAGGCATTTAAAATCTCTTTGAATTACCCTTGAAACAGACTTATTTTATGCATATATTGACTCAGTAAGATGAAACAGTCTGCTAGATTTTTGGTCCTTATTTTAAAAAGATAATATACTGCAACAGCTTTCAAGATTTGTAGGAAGATCTAAAAGTATTGATATTTTCATACTAAAAACTCATTTGTTTAGTCTGGCTTTCATGTATTGTTTTGTCATTTTAATGATTTTAGTATTCATACCTTTTTACCTATCATTATTTAATTATTTCAATAACATTTTACTGTTATGCTACAATCAATACGTTTCGAGTAACATTTCATAATCTTACTTTTATTGCTATTTTTTGTAATATCTCTTATTTATCTTTTATTGTCTTAACTACAAATCTCTTATTTTGATCTATTTCATTTTGTTGTTTGCGTGTGCATTAGTCTATGTTTTGTCAGTTGTTTCTAAATCACCTGCATTTGATTTGTTCAAAAAGCACATTATAAATAATATAATTGATTGATTATATACAATAATGTAATTGATTGATAAATAATATTCTTGGCTACCAAATTTACTGCATAATTCTTCTATTTCCTTACTATCCTTCTGTTTCTTATATACGATCATTTATAAAATTAATGTTTTATTGTTCCTTTATTTTTACAAAATTCTCGTTTACTGATGACTTCTACAATCTTAAGATGACAGAGTTAGTGGGTGAGATAAGCATCTTGCACAATTTTCTCTTAAGAAGAAATAAACCTGTACCAGCGTGTCATGTGACATACCTGTGGTGACGAAGGACTGGAAGTAAGTGAGCCATCCCAGTCTGAACGCTTACAGTCCGCTTTCTGCTTGTTCTGGTAAATCTCTCTGAGAGACAGCCGAGGCTCCTGAGACGGAGTCTGCAAGCGACGGAGGTCAGACATTAAAACCATTAGCTCAAATATAAATGTGTACAGGTGACCCATCATGTCTTAGAGGTCTTTTTCTTCTTAAGCAGTGTCAGTGGTTCACTTCATATCTTGCTAACATGGTCTGGAATACTAAACACACTGATATTCACAGGTGCCGCTGTGAAATGTTCCATCGTTACTCACAAGACTCATGGACGCCTCTTGCAGAAGGAGGTAAGCGCCGCTGTCGAAGCTGTCTGGCAGGGGGCGGTACAGTTCAGTCTCATTCAGACGCCAGTAGGTGAGGCCTAAGACAGACACAAGACTCTGTTATTGTTTTATCTAATCATTTGCACAATAGTTTGAAATTATCAACTGCTTATACTGTACATTGAATAGAGTAGTGTGCAATTTCTGGACTGCACATGGGCACAATTAAGCTTAGAGCTAAGAAAGTACTGAGGCACCAGCTGATGCATTGCTACTTTTGTTTGGTCTTGTTTATTGGACTTGTTGACAACAAGAAAATTCAAAAATAACAGTCACTTTATGGTTGAATAGCCACACAAAATGCTAACATTGATAAACCATCACATGATCCAGGGCCAGCAAAATTTCAAGTGTGGGCCAATATTTTAAGCATGTTTTATTAAAGGGGTCAGTGTTCTGTAGGCATGTCAGCTTGCAGTTCTTGCTTTTTTTTAGCTTTTTATTTTATTACAGAATAAAAATGATTTATAAAACAGTTTGATCTAGGATTGTAATCGAGGGCAGATGCCATTTTTATCAGAGTTACAGCAGCACATGTGACTCACACACTGAATGTGTTTTCTGTGTTGCACAATGAGACTACAGAACAGGCTGTATTGAGACATTACAATGTCAAGTTTATTGACATGAGTCATGCATTTACATTCCAGTCTACAATAGATTTGTGGAAAAATGAATGTATAAGTTGCTAAATAAACTTCAGCTTAAGGTTTTTGCTCAAGGACCGCATTTGGCAAACAGGTCTCTATTTGTTGACCACTGATAATAATGAGAATATTTTAGTGAAAAATGAAAATACTGAAACAAAATAATTTTCTATATCCAAAGTTGTCAGTGCCATTATCATATTTTTCTATTATCATAGAAAAATCTATTATTATCATGTCTGTCTGCACACAATAAGTCTCATTTTTGTACAAAGACAATTGTAAACAGTCTCAGATGTATGAATGGAAACAAAAATGGCTGATAAACATTTTTTTAAAATTATTATCTCTACTTATTTATCAAATTTTAAGATTTGTTTACCTACCTCTTCTGTTTATGCCTTGCTTGGCAATATTTTCATTAAGGCCACTATGTCAATATAATTGTAGGTATAAATAAAGGTTTAGTAAGTTTTTCTTCTCTATATTTTCAACCATTTTCTTTAAAACAGCAATTTCTTTCTGTTCTTATGCCTGAAAGGCACTTTGCAAACTTGTAAAATTTGTAAAGCATGACATAAAATGGATAAAACTGTAAATGAAACCCTATAAGAGGACAAAATAAAAAAAAATGAAGCAGACTACAGCGAGAAACTTTGGATAAGTTGGGTTTTCTGTATGAAATTGTAGGATCTCAAGCTTAATGTTTACATTAGACAGAAAAACATTGTAAAAAAAAAAAACAATATTGCAGGGTTTTATTCTGAATATTTAAACCTGTTTAATAATTTAAAAAGCTAACCTTCTTTCTCTGTTGGAAAATACTCTTGCTTGACATCTATTCTTTTAAATGTGCAATACAAGTAGCACTGATTTGAAGTGACAGTGATTGTACAATAGTTTTAAGTAGTTTCAGGTTCATCCACCAAAAGTTAGTGAACACAGGGAATCCAATGTGCTACATGGCCACATGAATCAGACAAACAGGCAGCTGTGCAAGGTTGAGGCAAACACAAACACAGATATGGCATTTGAAAGAATAAACAAACTGATACGTCCTCATAGCAGTGCCAGCTGATTGTCTCCATCTTTCAAAAAAACTGTCAAGTCCTGATTGTTTATTTGTTTTACTTTTACACAAGTCAAGCCTTGTTGTTCAGTGTTTTGTCTGAGAGGGTGAATTGTTACCTGATGCCTCAGACATCAGGCTATCGCTCCTCCTCAGGGGAAAGGAGCTGGACGACGGCCCAGCCGGTCGATGCTGAAACCCAATAGAGATGAGTGGATTAAATCCAGCAGTAGGTATATAATCAGGACAACCACAATAGACTTATGCATTAAAAACATAAACACTACACTATACTACAGATGCAGGGCAGTGATAAACACCAGGCAGTGTTACCATTTTTTATTATCCCTGTAAAATCAGATTAGTTCTAAAGGAGCAGCTGTCAACATGTGCTGAGTTGTACCTGGTTCTGGGAGTCCATGCTCTCCAGGGGGTTTTGTTTGTGGGACTCTCTGGGGTTGCGAGGAGGATCCTCGTACTCTGGGATCTGGGGGGAAGGTTGTCCTGCTTTGCTCTTCTTCGGCCTGAGTTTCTGCCTCTGGGCCCAGGAGGTCAACTGCTGGCTGGTGCTGCCAACAGAACAGGTCAGGGTAAATGGAAACATCATCTCACAGACAAAGGCCTGAACATGGTCTCTGCCAGATTTGACAATCCTTAGAACACCAGAACCCACAGGTGGGTTTAAAAAGCATGTTATTGGTTTTAAAATCTCCAAAATCACACAACTTATCAGAGCCAGAAACTGTAAAAACTGAAAGAATCATTGAATTTTAAACAAAGCTGTGTAGCTTTGTCAGCAGGTGACACTGTAATCACCACTACGCCTGGCTGTGATAAACAGAACAAAAGAAGACTGAAACAAAAGCAGTTGAAGAAGAAGTAGCAAACAAAATTGTATCCATCTCTAACAGAAAAATGGAGAGAAATCTTCAGGAACTGTTTTCAGTCAGGAATGTTCTTCTTCTTTCATGTCAGCTGGTATTGGCAGAGTTTCAGTAGTTTCATGTTTCTCAGTCTGGAGAATTAAATCTCTACTACTTCACAACTAATTCAAAACATTAGTTTCACTCCTTTTTGAAACTGCTTAAAACCATCTATAGGAAGTCTAAACCACTTTTAACGAATTCAAAGTACTTCTATGTTTTTATTTTTACTACATCCTTTATCTTTTTCTAATACGATACTTCAAAATGTGCACAGAAAATGGTATAAACACACACTTACAGCTAGCTTGTTTGAAACTAGTTAAGCAAGTTTCTTTTTAATCATACATTTAGACTAGGAATGTCAATGATTAATTGTTTTATAAAATTAACTAAATTAAAAACATATTACACGATGAGGCAGAGTAACAAAAGTGTGCATGGAAAAGGACATGCATGTCAGAAACTGTATTGTAAATTATCTGTAATACCTGGTTGCGCCACTAGTTGGAGGGTCTTATGGTTGAATACTGTCGTGGATCAAGGAGCAGATCTAGGGGCAATTTAGTCTTGGCAAGCAGAGAGCATTGTGGGGGTTTAGCTAGTGAAAAGCCACCATGACAAAGTCTTCTCTGATGTTTAATGCCTAGGGCTAGCCAGAGCAAGCAGTAGTAAGATGAGTTGTAGTGAGCCAGGACAGTACGTTAGTGGTCTTCTGGCACATATGACCACGGTGCACTTTCAGCAACTTGTTCAATGTGTTTATTGTCAAATGTAGTCATATCAGCATATGGAGGAATGCCAGATATGTTCAAATCGTGCTACTGATTAATGACTGATAACGCCATCAACTCTTGGTTAAGAAAATTGTTCAAGATTTGCATCCCTAATTTACACAATTTAACTGTCAAAATAGCCAAAGTCATTGAATAGCATGTTAGCCTGCTAGTTAGTCTGGTTTTATAACTCTTTGGCACACAGTGCGGTCTCTTCAAAATCCACCACAAAATGTACTCAAGGCCAATTCCAGACCAGAAACAGATCTAAGTGAGGACTTTTGCAGACACATCGCAGATCACAGAAGTTGGGATGAATGGCCTGCCAGTTAACGCGCATACATGCACAAAAAGTTCAGCTGTTCTTTAAATTCCTCATGTAATCTGATTTTGCAGTGAACTAAGTGTCAGTGGTTAAAAAATGATTCTACTTGATCCTAAAGCTTCCCCGTAGAGTTTTAGATCTTTAGTGGTACTTTGGGGCAGTTTATCTTTGAGTGGGTACTCACTATGTCTGACTAGAATACATGCACAAGGATTCAAGTTTAAGTATGTACACCCAATATGTTGCAATGTGTTTATAGGCAAACTCCACAGAAACCCTACAAGGAATCATGATTAGCATGTGTGAACTGAGACGTACCCAGAGGTTTTCTGCTGGTACACTAATGGGTTCGGTTCATTCACTATGAAACTCCTCTCATTGGAAAAATCCTGCTGGCACCCAATCACAGTTGTGTCTGTATCAGCCTGGAAGGTAGAGGACCAATGATGCTTCACGCACCCTTGACCAACATCCTCATCTTCCCCTGGAGTCACAGCGGATTCCAAACCAGTTTCCCAGGCAGACAGAGTCCCGTATCCACTGCTGAGCACTGTGGTCGCCCGCTCCTCCCCCTGGTTGGTGGTCTCTGACCTAGGGAGCGGAGGTGAAGGGGAGCTAAAGGGAGTGTGGACTGGGGCTGCCAGGCTGTCATTGTCACTGGGCACATTTTTGGGGACTGTGCAGTCACTGGAGATGAGGGGGAAAATATAGTCTTTTGTGATTGTGGAAGTTTTGGTGTCTGGAGTTGGAGAGAACTCGGTGTGTGGCTGGACACTGGCCTGGCGGTTCTGGAGCTGAACCAGAGCCTTAATTTCATCCTGAATCAACTAAAAAACAAACACATATTTTAGTTAATAAACAAATATTGTAAGTCTGCACATGTCAAAGGTCATGAAGACAAATGCAGGCTTACCTGTATTTGGCACTGGTATTGTTCTTGCTGAGCGAGTATTTGCTCTTGGTATTGCTTTTCAACCAGCTGAAACAGATGCAACCATCGCCCCTGTTGCAGAAAAAACAAACCATCATTACTCACAGCATGACGTTGACCCGTGGTAAATCAGCTGGGGTGGAGCCACATCATTTTCATCACTGTCAATATTTGCTGACATTCCTTATTTGCCTTGGAGCTGACTTTTCGTCTTTATGCTGCAGAGGCAAACGAAGGCCTGAACTACCATAAGAACCAAAGGCCAAAAGAAAGCAAGAAACCAGGCTACCCATTAATGCAGAAAATCCATGATTCAATCCTAAAGTGATCCTATATGCAATTTACACAAGTGCGATGTGAAATCTCCAGTGGCACCTGCAGCATGTATATATTAGCGTATTCACAGATTCACGATTTTTCAGTGAGGGACAAGGAGCAACTGTAATTATAATTTTTGATGGGGTGATTGAAGGTGGTTGAACTTTTTTGTAAAAAGAAAAAAAAAACTAGACAAAAAATTATTATGCCAAACAAGAGTATGTTTTAAAGCATGTCTGCAGGGGACAAAGCCTACTGGTTTGTGACTGTGGCGTCACAGTGCGAGGGCAGACTCTGCAGTTAGAAAATAACTTCCTTTGATGGTGTGACTGTCATTAAGTTTCACAGTTTCTACCAATTTATTTTCACTGCTGTGGGACGTTTATAAACCTGTAGAATTCATGAAAATATTATCAAAATTGCAAAATGTCCAAGTGAAACATCCATGGCAGGAGCTTGAATTTTTTTGATAACAGTTCAATGCCACGGCCTGAAGTAAAAACAAGTTAACATTCCCACTAAAATCAATACTCATATACCAATATCTGTCAAAATAATCCCAATAAGATGTTATGACTGTAATTTATAGTTCAGCGAGTTCTATGCGGGAAAGACGGCTAAAACAAGTACTGTGAATTAACCCATCATACAAAATCAACAAATATCACACATCTGCAGCTTAGAACGTAAACCCTGCTATCATGCTAAATACAATAGACAGCAAGTTGTGCTCAGTCAAAATGTTATAGTTGGAATTCACAATTTCTGTGCATTTCTGTGTATGCATGTGCCTATGTCCTCCCTGTTACCCTGTATGGCCATGAAATCAGCTTTCCCCAGGAGAAATCTAGCTGTGAAATCAGCTGGTTAATTAAGAGCATGTAAACACACTGAGTGAGTGACTGAGTGAGAGAGAAAAAGAAAAGTGAGGACTTGACATGACATGATGTACATTAAGAAAAAGAGCACATTTTCTTCCATTTTGCATGAGCACACATTCACGTGTCAGGATTTTTACTGCATAGGGGATTTTTTTATATCCCCAAAGACCTTTTAGCAAAGGCCAGAGCTTATAAAATGGTCAGAAATAACAGGAAAATACTTAGATTTCTGCTAGATTACTGTAGGCACACCAATCATGTTTACATATCTATGAAGCAGCTGTGCATAACGATTGTGATACAAATTTCAATCAATCAGCGATATGTCCCAAATGATTTGACAATATATTCATCTAAGAATGAGAAGAGTGTGTTTTAGTCAGGTATATGAACTAAAAGGCCCCGTGCCTGATGAACGCTGCAGCAAATTGTCTTTGTTTTGTAGCGCATCACAGTTGTCTGTTCCCTGCAAATCACATCCTGAGTCTGAAAAGATCAGCTGCACTGTGGTGCTGTGTAGGGTGCTGGGGTCTGTAAATGTGTATGTGTGTGCAAGTGTGTGTCTATCTTGCTGTCAGGTGTGATCCGCACAAAAAGCAAAAGTGACAGCACAGAAATGAGGCTGCCAGCTGCCAAACGCAGTGCACAAGAACAACTGCCACGGCAGCAAACCCCAACTTCACTTTGCATGTCATCAGCGTGTACTTTCATTCTCGTTTGCACACTCTACAATAACTATTGTCTTGCAGGCCTTGTGATGTTTTCCCACCTCGCAATCCTTCCAGATCTCAGGGTCTGTCTCTCCGCTGCTCTGGATCTCCTGCACCAAAGCCCTAAGGGTCTCAAGGGAGCTAGGGTTGATGAATGGGAGGCTCTTTCCTTGTTCGAAAGCTTCATCTGTGCTCAGACACAGACTCCTGTAAGAAAATGGTCTAAATGTTTAACACTCCAGTACTCTTTTGCATGTAAAATATATACATGGTTCTTCAGTCTCTATAAAGCATTAGATGAAAATGTAGCTGTGCAGCATTTGGATTCCAACAAAATAATACCAAACTTCAATATGACAAAAAAAAAAAGATTATAAAGGCTCCTACATCTGCTCAAACTCATATAAACAGTTGGATTTAAATTGGACACAATGTTGGACAAATTATACATAAACAGATTTTAAGTTTACATCTACAGGTTTGACAATAACCCTCTGAACCCCAAAAACCTGCCAGCGGGTTTGAAAGGTGTGTTATCATTTTAAAAATCACTAACTTTACAGGATCACTGAGCCAGAAAATGTAAAAACAGAAAAAAGTCAGATTTTTTACTTTCTGATGGTCTCATGTGTGACTTAGAGTTACATCACAATCCATCCACCTAATCAGAGCTTAAACTCTTGATATAGCAAATTTAAAAAAAAAATTATAAAATGTTTTCAGCAGATTCTGCATAAAACTAAAAAATCTGCAGTCCTCAGTGCAACTGAAAAGTCCTGATGAATTTCATCCAACAGCCACGTTAAAAAATTCTCAGTTTTCGGCAAAAGACTGGGAGAGAAGAGAAAAGTTTGAAAAAAATTAGAGAAACTGAGGAAAATAAAACATACTTGAGCAATAACATAAATGCAACATGACTCAAAGACAGTATACAGAGGAGCAAGTTGTTGGAAGATACATTCAACATGGTGAAATACCTTTTCTGATGTGCAGCGTAGTGTGAAGGTTCTAAAAATGTAAATAGTAAAATATGTCTAGTATATTAAGCCACTTGCCGGGGCTTGGAAAAATGTAATACATGTTGATTACAGGGTTTTTTTAAATAATAAATAATCAAAGAAATGTTACTTTTGATGTTGTCCTTTCATGATTGATGGTATCACTTTGTTATACTGCACATAAGACATTTCTGAGTTCCCTGTGCATCTAGTCATGTTGTTCTGTTTCCATAGAGGTGTAGGACTTTTATTGCAGTGAAAAATGAGCCAACAGTGAGGAAAAACATGACAGGAGGAGAGAACATCCAGACAACTACTTGGGTTTCAGAGGGTTAACTACATTTATATCAAAAAGATTATTCTTTTATATTTTATCTCTGTTTTTTATCTTCCATGTACAGGAGTGTATTTACAGTTACTGAACCTGATCTTGTTGCATGCTGGTGTGATGTCCATGGGCCTGCACTCCACAGTGCCTCCTGTTGTTTGGGAGGTCGTGTGTCTGTCCTCTGAGACGGCCAGCCCCGAGGCTGATGTCCCCTCAGAGGACACCAAAGAGGCCTCGCTCTCCTTACCCACGTCCCCATCGGCACTGACATGGCAATGGCTCAAGGCCCCTGAGCTGGACACATCCTCAGAGATACTATCATCTGTGGACATGTTTATGGGCCCATGCAGAGGGGGTCAGTCTGACAGCTGGAGACCAAGGAAAAGGGAAGTGAAAAGCAGTCAGACAGAGTACTGTGAATTACACTTCTTGTTTTCCTAACTTCAAGTTAACAGGCATAAGTGTTGCTCATATGTTGCAGCAATAGAGGAAAAAGCATGACAAAGTCAGCGAAAGTAAGACGCTGCAGCATAATGCATACGTAATAAAGTACATAACAGAAGTGAGTACAACCCTGTGCAATAATACCTAAATGGCAAATAATTCAAAAATATATGACCTTATCGTAAGGACTCTACTTCTAAGTTGAACAATAGGATACTATTTTTTTTTAAAGTGTAGAACTACTAGACTTAAAATACAGGATCCACGAGAGGAACTCAAAAGAACAAAAAAATTTCAGCTGCTTTTTTTCTAAAGGGGTCGTGTTACTCAGTGTTTCTCCTTAGACCACTCCAAAAGTGTTCTACTGGATTCAAGTCATGCAACATACTTGAACCAGTCATAGTTTTCACTTTTTTCCTTCTTTAGAAACTCTCAGTTTGGGAGTCATCTTGTCAGCCAGTATTTTGGTAAATTCACAGTCATTCATAGTATCACCTATAAATGTCACCTCCAGAACACCTTTGTGCTTATACTGCCCCATACCACCACACTCACACCTCAGTGCTTCACTGTCAGGACTGTGCATTCACTGTGGTAAGCTGGTCAGGTTCACATCAAATACGCTGGACTCCATCTGAGCTGAACCTGAACATCTGAGCAAACCATCTTGCAGTTTTGTGCTAAAGGGCAAGCAAAAAAAATGTCTTGGACATTATTCATAGATATATTGCAATGTCCTTCACACAGCTGAAGCTGTAATAGACCTCTGATTTCTATTGATAAGCCCTGAACCCTGAAGTCTGAAGTACCTGGCCATCTGTTTTATATGGAAAGTAGTGCACTGTCTGCAGCATCATTTAAGAAGGATGACCTCTGCAGGTCTGAAGTATTTTATGATCAGTATAATTCAGTTAGATTGGCTGGACAGTTCACAGATGTACTGTATTTGGTTTCAGTGTTAACATGTTTTCTAACTTGTGTCAGTGATTACAGATGTTTCTACTTTTGAGTCTTTCTTGAATATCTGCTTTTGATTGTTCATAAGAGGAAATACTATACTTGTCATCTTAGAAATAATATATAATATTGACTGCATTTTAAAATTATTATTTATTTAAGTGATAATCGCAGGGGTGTGCTCTCTTCACTTCTGTTGTATAACCAAAAACATGCACTTACTGCAAGACCTCACATCCATCAGCATCCGAGAGATGGCAAAACATAAACATAACCCAATACAAACACAAAGCCAGTGTGTCAGTGTTACGCATTAGCATCCACTTGTGTGTCTATCCGTGCGTGTCTGCTGTATGACCTGTGTGTCCTGTGTGTGCAAGCTCGTCTCGGCTGGGCGGGTTTGATTGGATAACTAATTATCTAAACCAACAACATAAGTAACGCAGACAGAATTAGCCATGCAGCGGTTTTATAACAACAGCAGCTACATTAGCTGCTTTGGCCACGGTGTCAGCCCGCACAGGCGATGCTGCAAACGGGTAAAGTTGCGTGTCAACTCCGCAGGATCCTGGCTCAGTTAGTGAGTTATCTAGCTAGCAGGGTAGCTACAGCTACCACTGACAAGCAGCTGGACTGGTTAGCTAGCTCGCTGAGTTTGGCTAAGTTGCTTTATTACAGGTTTGTAAGCACAGCGGAGGCAAGCTGGGCAGCAGCGGGAGAAACAATAGCACACGGCCGCATAGGAAACGCTAAATAACGGCACACCGCTGATAGCAAACACTGAACAAGAATGAACCTACCCGTTTACTTGTATCATTATTTCATCCATATTTCTCTGTGAGTAGTCAGGTTGGCTAGCTGGTTGCTGGTTGGCTACTGCACTGCAGAGATAGCTGGCTGCTGTAACGTTCACAGCCCGCAACGCTATTGGTCAGAAGACGATCTAAAATACGGAGCTGTGATTGGCCGTCACTTTCACTCTGTGTTTGTATTGGCTGTTGGGGAGGGGAAGAGGTGGAAACATCTGTTGGGACAAAAGCTGACAGAGCAGAGGACTCCTGAAGGCTCTGAAACGCAACTGAAATCTTTAAAAATAATGCAGAACAGGTCTTATTTATAATGTAACTTCATGGTACGGACAGTAAACACCAAAACAATTAATCCAGGTTCCTCAAATTGAAAGGTATCAAAGCTGACGAGTGGGACAAAAATGTGCAAAAAATAATAATATATTTTTAAAAGAAAAAAAAATTGTCTAAAAATCATTATTATTATTATTATTAGTAGTAGTAGTAGTAGTAGTAGTAGTATCTTTAAAAAAATAAACAAAAGCACAATCCAGTAGAAATTTGTAAAAATGACAAATATGAATTAAAGCCTGGCAACACAACATGCATGACTTCATGCAGTAAAGACACTGATGTTAAAAAAAAAAAAATAAAGCAGTTTCAATGGGTTTTTGCTGAGGACAGTAATGTCTTTAAGGTCCTGAGTGTGTGTGTGTGTGTTTTGTTTTTGTTTTTTTTTTTGTCTATGCAGTTTACTTTTGGATAAGAACTGAGTTTGAAATTTGCAGGGAAGAAAATACACACTCTTGACAAAATCGATTCCCTACGTACACTCCAATGAGCAAAACATCTAATCATCTAAAGGTTATAGCGAATCCTTTTTTGGTGTGGCTATTATTGACCTTTAAAACAGCATCAATTGTCTTTGGTCTGCATACAGTTTTCTAAGGTGCTTTGCATGTCAGTTGTATTTTTTTGAGAACGTGCCACAGTTCATTGTGGAGTCAGTCTGTCTCAGTGTCTTCAGCCTTTTTATGTTTTCACACACTGACATCATGATGTTCAAATCAGGGCTCTGTGGGGGTCATGCCATCTGTGCAGGTTTCCTTGATCTACTTGTGACTGAAGGTAGCACTTCATGACTCTGGCTGTGGTAACTTTATGAACTACTAACACACCTCCCTGATGGTACTGCAGAAAAAATCTAAACATTTCAAGTGTCTAAAACTTTTCACAGGTCTGTCATATACTATCTTGTCTATTGAGATGGCAGTTCCAGGTTTGCATAGATGGTGTCCTTCACAAACCATTTCTCTGCTATGTCCACAATATCCTAAAAAGTTCCCCTTATCCTTGAAAAAATAATGCAGAGTAGCTTTTAAGTAAGTAAGTAACCTTTGTGCAATAATTTAGAAAGCCAGCACATTGTTTGTTCAGTTCCTTTAAAAGTGACTTCTTCTAGCAGAAGTTGCAGTGACAACAAAAATAAGTCAAACTAAATCACAATAAATCACAATGACAACTATATTGAAAATACAATTTATTACACTGAGTAATAAATACATACAAAGATGCAAGTAACAGCATTTTCCTTTTTTTGTGTTTTTTTTTAATACCAAAACCAACCTCAACACGAATGAACCGATGCATTTGGCACATCTCTGTCCCTCACTCACTCAGTCATGTGTTATAGGGGTCTGAAAAACAGACCAAATACTATCAAAAAAACTTCTCCATCTACCCCTGTACAAGCCATGCAGTGTCTAACAGTTAACCCCCAGGCCCGTTCGCATGCATAAACCAATGTTTTAAATATGAAGTCAGAACTAAGATCCCAAAAGTGGGCCGTAAAAACACATGATCTCCTCCCATCTGAATTCCAATAACCCACACATGATTTAAATGATCCTCCAGAACCCTCAGGACTCATGAGTTGCATTTCTGTATTTTTTTTTTCTCTCTAGGAGCTGCTTGCTTTTCCATCCTGTGTTCATTTACTTCCTCCTTGCAAAGGGAATGCCATGCAAGTTTTTTTTTTTTTTTCAAGAAATGAAGTTCTTCTTGTTGCAGGGAGGAATGTGTGTTCGTAGCTAGGACCTCGCGTTTCTCTCCGTCTCAGCCAAGCATTCACGCACCAGCCCTCTGGCGTGGATTATCCCTTTGAAGAAAGACAAACACATTTAGATGAACAAACTCAGAATAAATTAAGACTTTGATGATTATGGCTTGCCCTTGATCAAGTTTTACCTCTTTTCAGTCTCTCCATTGCACTCTTGCTTCCAGCATATGTGGGCCTGATCTCCTTTCCAAGCTCCTCGATGATGGCCAGCAGCTCTGCATATTTGTTCTGAGGCACTTGGCTGCCAGTGGAGCCCTGAGAGCAAAGATAAGTCAGCTTCAACACATTTGACACTGCATTTTGGTGTGCAGAATTCCCTCAGTGCTTTAAGACCAGTTTCATGTTTACAACATTGTCGGAAGTCACCATTAGGAGTAACTTCACTTGGCTTTGGAGGATCAAAACCTCCTGATTGTAGAGGCCCTTCTCCTCCTGTAACTTTTATTTTATTATCACTTGAACTTGGTCTATGTCCATATTATAACTCATTTAATTATTCACCTCATCAGTTCAAGTTATTTGTAGCTGATAACTTATGTTGTAGTAATGCTGACAGCAGATGAACTGAGGAAAATGGATCATTTACATGATTTGTTCTGCTTCATGCTGGGGTTAGGACGTAGTGACATTGTGCTGTTACTGAACATGAAGTTTAATACTGTGATAATTATCCACTGAACCTTCAGGGCCTCTTCAACTGATCACTGACAAATGATGATTCCTCCAGAGGGTCAGGATTCCTTCTGTACAGCCCTTGGGCAGTTTAAATATCTGGTGACATGTTTATCACAGTATCATTCTGAGACTTTCACTATGCTTCAATCAAAGCATGAGCTAACACTTAATCACATTATAGACATTGTCCATATTCCCCTATTTATCCATTCTCCACACACCGGTTCCTGTTCTAACAAATAGTATATTGTTACAACTAGAAAGGTTTCTCATTAAATTGCGATCAGTATTCAGTCATTCACTGATTCAATGTAGTCCAGTAAGGAAATAAAGGAAGTATGCGCACAAGTAGGAAACATGGATAACAACAAGAGTAAAAACAATGTTAGTAAACTTCTAAAAACATCAGAGCATTTAGGCTTTTTAAAGCCTAAATTGCTTTTAAGCAAATGAATCAACTGAAACAAAAACTGCTGGAAAAAATGAGAAGAAAATTAAAAACCCTAAATTGCTCAAAAATATAAAAATGTGTCAAGGTTTAGTGTTGTACAGGGGAGTCCAGGTTGCAGATGTGCAGTGAACAAAATTAGATGTTTAAAGATATCTTGTCATGTGAAAAACATCTTGTTATTATTAATACAATATCCAACTGCAATGTTTCTGACAGATATTGCGATTGGATTTACAACATATTTTTTTAAAGTGAAACTTCAGTTTAATTTTAACAGTTTAATAGGTTTAGAATGTGATGGCGATCACATGACCAAAAGGGTGCCCATCACACAAGGGCAGCATGAATTTATTAAACCATCGATATGACAGTTCAAGCTCCAGCTCACATGGGCTGCATAATGTACATCCTACACTGCAGCCATTGCGATCCAATAATAGTTTTATTTCAAATTGCAGTTTTGATTTGAAATGAATTCATTGTTCAGTTGTATGTTGTAACAATAAACACTTCACATTATAATGTGACACTGATCTGGCAGCAAAAACCTGCTGAACAGAAAACACCAGTATCAACACAACATGACATCGTCTGTCGTCACTGAACAAAAATGGTGGAATGTATGAAAATGATTGGAGTGGAGAGAGGAGGGTTGAACCAAAAAGCACGACTCTTAACAGGGTTACTAATGTTTGGTTCGGACCCTCCACTGTTATTTCTCAACTGTTAAGCTCTGTTTGTTAAGGCAACAGTTATTTTTACATACTGAAACTGCCCCAAAAAAAGTAAAAACAAAAAATGCTGTCCCCTTTAACAAACAGAAAGTAAGACTGCAGCAGTTTTGACATTTTGCTTGGAAGCAGTTACACAGCAACATCTCTATAGCTCTTTGTATACATGGCATATGTAAAGTGTAAAGCATATTTTTCATTTAGGTGTTTTGATGCAACTACTTCAAAGTAATAGCAGACTTTTTAATATGAAATTAAATATAAATCTGGGACTTGGAGAAGTTCACGTTCCTCCCCTACTGTCCAAAATAACAATCGTCCTCCTTTACTGATGGCACCTTACCCCTAATCATTTTTGTACAGTTGCTTACAAGAAAACACAAATAAGTGACACAAAATGTAAGACCTTGGTGTTTTCCAAAAAAAAGAAAACACACACATTTGTAATGTTTCATGTCATGTTACCATCAGTTGTTTAACTGGCAGTCATGTTAATTGCCATTCAGCCGAAGAAAACTGTCGAATGTTTTTTATATCTACAGATTGTAGCTAATTTTGTGAGAAATGTTTGGTTTTAGCTGTACATTAAATGCACTGCAAAAAGTAGAGCGTGTGGAGTTGCATTGTGGGAAATGTAGGATTAAAGTTTGTTGGAGTCAGACTGTTAAAAGAATAAAAATCAGGTTCTGCTGCTTTCACTTTTGATTAAATAGGAAGAAATGAGTTGAATGTGAGGACTAGAATAGCAGTTTGAAAGTATTTACCTGTGAGAATCCCAGAGACGGAGGTCCATAGTCGCTCAGAAGAGGCCTGTAGGACTGCAACGTGGCCAGGTTAGCTGCTGAGGCAGACTGAAGGTTTCCAACTGTGGACACATTGAAAAACACCCACGTCAACGCTTGTCTGTTGTCAACGACTCTGTAGCAGTTTTAAGTGAAATCTCAGGATAAAGATGAGGTTTTCTTCTGGCTGCTTGTTTTATTTTAGTCTACAATTCAAATACATTCAGCGTCACAGCGACCTGACGGCCAGGTGGTGGGGACACAAGTTGCCGTTGGTGCCCCTGGTTTGATTGTGGCTGGTTGGACCCATATTTGGCTTCTGTTTGGTTTCTGGCTCTTTTTCCTCACAAAGATCACAGTTACAATTAATAGCTTTAAAGGTTGCCTATCTACATTCTTAATATTTTCACAGAGTGAACTGACCCATTTATCATTCAAAGCCTGATTTATAGAACACATGACAAAAGTTTAGATTTTCTTGCTGCTGACAGCATATTCTGAGAAAATATATCTGAACTTGCCTCTTCTAAATCCTTTTTCTAATATGTCTATACATTTTTAAAGAATTTTGAATTTGGTTTTATCCAATGTTCAGATTTCTGGAAATGATTGTAAACAAGGGCATTGTCAGACAAATCCAACCTCATGTGCATATCTAAACATAGCATTTTACCCAAAACTATAATTGTCTGAGTAGACAACTGAGGAAGTTTCATGTTGATTTCTGTCCATCTACATATTGACCTTTTCCTGCAAGATTTTTACTTGTAACAGAGTATTTTGAATCAAAAAAGATAAAAAACAACCACAGAAAGATTATTAATGACCAGAGGGAGACAGATAATGACCACAAAAAGATTACAAATTGTCAAAAAGAGCAAAAAATGACTTTAAAGAGACAAATATTGACGAAAAGGAGACAGATAATGGAACAAATAGATTATATATATATATATATATCAAAAAGAGTAAAAAAGACCACAAAGAGACAAAAAATAACCAAAGAAAATGATCAATAAGTAATCCTTAAACAAGCTCAGGGTGAAGGAAAATGATTGAAGAAACAAAAATGATGACAAAGAGATGAAAAACAAACAACAACAGAAAACTACCAAAACATAATGAAAAATATCCCCAAAGAGCCCAAAACTTAGACCTGAGGAAGAGAAAATGATTGGAGACAAAAATGAGAAGATGGAAAGATGAAAAATGACCAAAAAAGATAAACAAAAACAGATAAAGAACAACCATCAAGAGACAAACAATGACTGAGAAAATTATCACATTAAAGATGACTACAAATAAACAGAGTGAGATGGTACACATAATGGTGATGAGATGGAAAAACTACCAAAAGAGAAAGAACAAAAAGAGACAAAAAAAAAATCCCCACAAAGAGACAAAATGACTACATCAGTTCTAACACATCTCTTTAAAGCTGTCTTTCTATATTATGAAGGTTTTCCCTGAATTCAACGTGTTCTTCTTGTTACCAGCAGTTTAACTGTAACTATTTTGAACCAATGTTTGTTTTAGATATTTTTGAAAATGATGGCATTTTTAGACAATTAATGCCTAATTTACATATAAAACATAATGATTGCTATACAAAGGATCTCTGCCTTATTACCAGTGTCATGATGATCAATGTGTTAAAGTGTGACCTCATTCTCCTGCAGTGTTTCCCCTTAAACTAACCACCTATTCTGCTTAACGTTTACTACCACCGGAGTATTTCTACGCGGCTGAACGTGTACTTTTACTCCACATTCTCGCAGTAGTATTCGCAGCCTCACACCGCCGCCGCTCCCCTGCCGCTTTGTTCGGCTGCAGCGTCGCGCCTCCGCCGCTAGATGTCCTCGAAGAGACAGAAACACCGAGAGGCAGATCAATCGGCAGCTCCGACCGAGGAGCATCATGGAGGAAACGGAACAAGGCTGGCTCAAGAAGACATAAGTGATAGATTTTTGTCACCGTGTAACGGCTCCTACCCGGCGGGACCGCGACCCCCGGACGACGGAGAGGCTCATTTTCGACACCGCCGCCGCCTCGCTGCTCATCCCCGCCGTGTTTGTCCGCCGCCTCGCCGCACGGATGGCGCTCTTTTACATTAGTAATAATGGCGGATATGAATTAGCCTAGCTCCCAGGATCTGACCCTATATATATAACTGGACAAAAACTACAGACACGGTCTTTCTCCAGGTATTCTCCGAGACCCCGAATTTAACAGTCGATTTAACCGCCGGAGACTTGTGTTTTCAGCCACGTTTTCGCCTTACCCTGGTTCCCAGAAGTTCCCGGAATGTGCTGATGGACGTTGGGTTTGTAAGACATTCCCAAAGACATTGTAAATTAAAGAAATAAAAATGACCCGAAATTCAGTGAAGCGTCTGTCTCTCACTTTTTGTTTACAACAGCGGCACCGGCAAATATGGCCGTCACTTTATATTGACACCCACTGTGCTTTGTAACAGAGCTACTATCACTGCGGCTCATCAGGAAACACTTAGAAAGCTCATTTAGAGCAGAAACACAACAAATACACACACACTTTAACACACGTTTTAACACATTTATCACCTCACACTGCACTTTTACACACTTGGAGAAAAAAAAAACAATGGCTTGGTTGACTAGTTTAAATATGTAAAACTTATATATATATTTTTGCATCACATTAAAACATTAAAAAAGTGACGTTTAAAAGTAGAATTAGCAACTTAATGTGCATTTATATAATTTAAGGTAAAACTTTATTTTAACTTAAATTACTTTTTACAATAAAAAGCTTTTGTTTGGGTGAAATATAACAGTTTGTACAAACCTGTTTTTGTCTGTGGAGGCGCATCCATGCTCATACGTGATGTTTAAATGTAATTTCAAGTGGAACCAGGTTGAAGCTGCCCTCCTGATGCATGTGCTCTTCTTCCATTTCAAACGAGCTCCAGGAGGAGTCTCTTTATTTCCCATCAGGCCCTCCCGGCCACATGGTTGGACACACAGGGGCAAGATTTGGCCCAATCCGGGCTCTCAGTGTCAGGACCTGGACCCCTGAGAGGCAGGGGCCCCCCAACAAAGGAGCACATGGACCCCGCTGAGGCACTGAGCAGCAGAGGGAGATGGACTGTTGGTTGTTTTTAATCAGGTTAAATGCAATGATGGCAAATTACAAGCAGCACAACATGTTTAATAACAATAAAAAGCTCAAGTTTAAGAAAATATGACACTTTTGGTACATTTTTTTTGCAGAAAAATAATTTATTTGGCATTATAAAATGACATTAATTATGAAAGTTAAGACAGAATCATGTCTGTGGTGTGTCACTGTTCAGTCAGTTGCCAGTTTATTAGGAACACCTCATGTTTTGCAATACATCTTTCCATTATTTATCATACATACTTTCTACACTACATGATATAATATACAGTATATTTTTGTCAACTATGTTTTAGAAATTAAGATTTTAGGTACAAAAATACACACTCAACATGTAAAATCTGAACCTAAGCTATGGTGGTCATCTGTGCATCATTTTGCATCACACCATGGTTGTTTTTTGGTCTAATGTTGTTGATTTTGTGTTTCTTTATCATTTTGCAGCTCCTTATGGTAACATTTAAGTAATTTTACATCTGTTTGTAGTTACTTTATTTTATTTTTTTTATGCCATTTTGGTCATTTTCTTGTCTCATAGTGTTAATTTTGTGTCTCTGGTCATTTTGCACCTCTGAGAGGTTGTTTTTTTGTCTCATTTTGGTCATTTAAAGTGTTACTTTGATCATTTTGTACCACTTTGTGGTTGTTTGTATGTAAGTGGTGTCACTTTTTGGTCATTTCATGTTCCTTTATATCAGTTTTTTTGTTCCATTTTGGTTATTTAGTATCTCATATTGTTATGTTTTGTCTCTTTCTAGTCATTTTGCATCTCTTTAGGATTGGTTTTCATGCCATTTTGAACATTGTGTCCTATCCATCTTTTTATGGCCACTTTTTGGTCATTTTGTGATTGACATTGTAATCTCTTTGTGGTCACTTTTGGGCGTTTCCTGTCTTATTGTGATATTGTCTTTTTTCCTGGTCTATTCTGCATCTCATTTAGATAGTTTGCATCGGTTTTTGGTTGTTTGTATTGGTAATGTTGCATCCGTTTCCTCTGTGCATGTCTATATGGTTGTTATAATTTATCAGATGAAACTGACTCCTAGGTGCCCGATAGGCCCAGTCATTAATCTGTCCACGGACACATATAGACAAAAGACATTTTAAAAATCGCACACAAATGGAACCAATAAGCCAACATAAAGTCGTCTCAGATTACAGCAGTGATGGAAACAAGTGTTTCTTGAATCATTTGATTCATGATTTCATGCTTCTATAACTACCACTGGGATGTTTCAAATAAGTAAGAAATCCAACGTAGAAGTATACCAAGCTTTATTGAGCATTGCACTCATTCATGTACACGTAATGTTGAACTTTTGTACAACTTTTGTCAGTAGTGCAACTCGTGCAATGATGAAAAGGGGGGGTGGGGGTGGGGGGGAGAGAATGTCCTTCAAGTGTTTCAACTTCAAAAGAGTCGATTTTCAGAGACATTTTAACGGCATTCAAAAACAATGTAACTGAGTCAGCAGCCCATGTAAATACGTCCCAGAAGACAAAATAAAAACAGGAGTTGATGGCTGAAACATGGTGCACATTCAAGTTAGAACACTTCCAATTTAAGCGCAGAACTTAATTAATAAGGTCTGTCTCGTCTCGGGTTCAACAACTGAGGTGTGCTGAAGAATTTCGGTTTGGATCCTTTTACAAATATTACAAAGGTTACAAAGACTTGAACTTCTTATTTCACCTGTTTTTAAATGCATCAAGCACAAGAGCGAATACACATCTAATACCAGTAACTAATCCACAGGTTCAGGATGTGTGTGTGAACATCCTGTGTTTAATTATCAGCCATTAGGACAGCTCCTGTAACCAGACTTTGGTCTGTCCCTTCCAGTGCAGAGTATTAATGCAGTAAAGGACTGAGGAAGCTCAACAGAAGAGGTGCACTATACAACAGAAGCAGATTCTAATTACAACTCAGTCTGAAACATGTACAGTGAAGCTGCAAATACAGCTGAACACGCAGCGACGTTACTGAGGAGGTGTCCGAGGAGGATTGGTGTTCTGGTCATGCATTTCAGATACACAAAACATTTTCTTTCTTTTGGGTCTTTGTATGAGTTTAACCCCTGAGCGGATTTCCATTTTTAGAAAAAAAAAGAAAAAAGAAAGGCAACAAAAGAAAAACATGTAGAGGAGGACACGGTGCTAAAGACTGCTCCGAAACCTCAATAAGTGATGGTCACTGTCAAGGACATGCATTTCACATTTCTTGGAATTCCTTGGCTGCTTTATTTTACGGGTTCTGCTGCTGTTCAGGTTTCAGCAACATCCATACAGACTGAATCTGACGAAGTCAAGGTAAAGACCAAGTCAAGAAAAACAGTATTGTAATGGGCTGGGAATAATGTGGGAACACTAGGGAGCGCTTTCTGCAACACCTGAATTTAAGTCACGTTACTTAGCATTTAAAAGCCTTATTAAACTGATTTACAACACTGTAATGTAGCTTTAAGTGTTCAGTAATGTACTTGTCAACAAATATATTGTTTCCTGTGGTAATCTAAAAGTGGATGCTGCTGCATATGAACAGAAAATAACTGCATTACAGGTCACAAATGGTTTAATAAATGTCTAAATGCTGCTTATAAATGCTAAAAAGTCCACTGACTCCACCATAAACTTCCCCAAATGGTTTAACTCTTTCCTTACTTTCATGCAATATAAACAGAAGCCACAGGACAGCTGACACTAAAATAGCCAAATCTCTCCTTGATAGTGTTTTGTAAAGGTGCCTGACTGCAGTAGCTGTTGTACTTACACAAAGGCACGCTCGACAAACTTCCAGCTGTTTGTGTTACAAAATAGACAAAGAGGAAGAAAATGACGAAATAAAGCAAACCAAGGAACTTGATTAAAAGATAACTTTGAGACCCGTGTGCGAAACAGAGAAAAGAGGAAAACAAGTTGGTCTGTGATTTAGATGCAAGTGGATCCTGACGGTAATGACATTTTGGTCTTCGTTGAGTGTCAGTAAATCAGCACAAATTAGGTTTCTTAGAGAAAACAGCATCACTTTTTCTACTTCAAAGAACTAAATCTGTCACTGCAGCAGTGCTGGATAATGTCCAGTATGATGAGATTTCGCCATACATTAATGTTGGTTGTAGTCAAGCATTAAATGCCCAGCTAAATGAATCATCAGACTATAGTGGTTTTTGTTTCATCCACCTTCAGTCCAGACCCAGAAAAAGTCTTTGCTTCATACTCAAGTGGTCCGGACTGAACAGCTTAAAGCATGGGTGAGGAGTGAGTTACTCAGATCAACATGCCCTCTTGGTTTGATCAATATATCACAAATCTTCTCACTCTGAATGTCAGAGGACAATACATCACCTGTCAAATATCTGTAGGTGAAAACAAGAGTCTCTGGAGATTAGACTTTAAAAAAAAAAAAAAGAAAGAAAGAAAAAAGGGAAGAAAGAAAGATTTTTTTTCTCTGTACAGCCACTGCTTTACATCAGACAGTCACCACGGCCTGGTTTGACATGTCTGACCCTCAGGGGTGACGGGGGGCCTGAGGGTGCAGAACAAGGGGACGGCCGTCCTGGAGCCTGCAGTGCAGAGAGACCCATCGATGGAGCCTGATCCCTTCAAAGCGGAACATCAACTCAGTGGGTGAAGATGGGACTGAGGCCCCCAAACTATGTGTTGGGTGCATGACTGAGACTCTGAGGGTGGAGCTGCTGCCGCTTCTGCTGCTCCTGCACAGCCAGCTGCTGGCACTGGTGAGAAGTCGAGAGCTTGTTGATTAACGGAGACACGCAGTTCGCTGGAATGATGAGTCCTGTAAAGGAAACAAAGGTCTGAGAGTGAGTCTGCAGAGGACAGTGGTGTTGACATTTACAGCACTTATTAAAAGAATAGTTCAATGTTTTGGGAAATACACTTATTCGCTTTCTTTCTGGGAGTTAGATAACAAGATTGATACCACCTTAATATCAGTACTATAAATATGAAGGTACACAGCACATATAAACCACAGCTCGTCATTTTATTCTTAGGTGTTTGTACTGTGTACTTTGGAGGTGCTGGTAGGAAGAATCTGTTACTTGGGAGAGAGCCTGGCCAGCGATTTTCTAATTCTATCAACAAAGATAGCTAAACACAGAAGTCTTCCACAAAGGCAGTTTGAGCGTTGGTTTGTGGTCGGTGGCAAATTTCATTCAGTTCATGTTTTGACAGCCAAAGACTCGACTCTTGACCAGGAAAACTAGTTCCAGAGAACACCTTGCTGGTCCAGGGAACTTACAAAACTGAAGATGTGTTTTTCCAACTCTACAATATCTGTAAGTTCAAGCATTCAGTCTAAAAACAAAAGTCCAACTATCATATGTGACAGCAAGTCCATCCCAAATTATAGTAAGATTTCAAAGGGTGGTGGGAAATCAAAGCTGACTGGGAAAGAGTTGATGCATTCCACAACTGATGCCTGACATCTTCACCTTCTCAATCACTGAAAAATTCACAACATATAAATATGCAATAATGTATTTTAAAATACAGGAGGTCCATTCTCAATGTTTGTGCATGCATGCAGGCTTCATGTTTCCACAGCACACTGCTGTAAAGTTGCCTGTTGGACTGGGAATGTCTACCAGATGGTTGAGAAATCATAAATCCTGCTCTCATGTGCACACCTCAATCTCAGATTTTAAGGGAGCCCAGAGAAACCTTTCGCAGATGAATCTGAAAACCGGAAGTCTTGAACAGACATTATTCTGCTATTTTTGTAATACCTTGGAAAGTAAGTGAATTGAATGCCCTAAGACTTTTCAGCAGGTGCAGACAGCCAAAACACAAACTATTTCCCAAAAATATTAAACTATTCCTTGGAGACTGCAGTTCTTCAACTTACCAACTATCCTCTGTCCATCTTCAGTTCTGAGGCGGACAATCTGCACCTTTACATTGGTTCCACTGACAGGGGTAAGCACCTCCTCCAGCTCATTCCACACACTGAGCACTGAGCCACAGAGAACGTAGTACGTCCGACACCGAAGACCGACTTCACACTGCAGACCCACCGACGCTTTCTTACAATTACCGCGCCTGCAGACACAGTGACAAACGGAGATTTAAAAAAGAAGACAGCAATACTCTTTAAGTTAACTGATCAATGTTGGCTTGAAGGGATGACACATACCAAAATGCGTGAGAGCATATCTTTGCTGACGACTGATACTGATCAGTCCAGTGCTGCTTGGCATCTTCTGACAAAACCTAACAAAGTAGAAAAAAATATATATAATTCACCATAACATATATTCAGTGTCCTTCTCACCACCAGTTTAAAATAAATAATGTCACCTAACCTTTTTAAACTTCTTCTTGATGTCGGCGTACGTCTCCAGTTTCAGCTGCCGGCCAGTGTTCGGCCTGTACACCAGGAACAGCCTCTTCTTGGTGTTCACCTCTTTCACAAGTATGGCTGTTTTCTTGTTGTTTCTCATCTGGCAATGAACCACGTTACATATAAATAAAGACTCATTCCACTGCTTTTACATATCTTGAGGAGTTGACTAGTCCTGGCTAAAACTACTCAGTATTTGAAATCACTCATTAACATTTTTTCTGGAGTAGGTCAGTCAAATACAGGTAATTTACTTTAGTTGATCAACAGATTTATTGCAGTTTGGGCTCAGAGATCACTTTATAACAGAAACCCTATACTGCAAACTGGAGATATCAAGTCTTAAAGATATACACATCTGGTCAAAGAGTGTGGGTCAAACATTCGACTCAAGTTTTCAAGCAGCATATATTAACAGAATGTTGTCTCTGGTTGGTAATCTTGCGCATGACTACTATCATATCAGCTAAAAAAAAGCGGATATCAAAATAACAGCTTTTTATATCAAATAAAAGATTTAGAATCGCACAAGCCCAACTGAACAGACTGCGAAACTCTGTTGTTCCTCTGAAGAAAGCCCTACAGGGCAAACTGGGCTAACCAAACACCTTTAGTGCAAACTTTGAGAAACTTAAATAGTCTAGCTTGGCAGCCTTAGGGCTACAAGCAGCTCATCATGCGACACTCTGTGGAAAACTGTTACACTGGTACTCTCCAATCAAACATATCTGATATTCAGAATGCAACTGTCTAGTTCTGACATACAAGATGCCCTCATTTTATAAAATACACCCTTATATTTGGGCTCATTATTTGAATATCAATAGAACAGTGTTACAAAGATCAAAGTTTTTTGGACAGAAAGTATCTCCAACTCTCCAATCAAACAGTCTCATTGCAATTATGTAAAATCAGTTAAAAAAAGAAGTAATTTCTGCCAATGTAAAGGCTGCAGGGTTGATCTTCTCATACCTGTACATAGAAGCCATCGTCTGCTCCGTTCTGTTCTGCCCAAGCATGCGTGGCTTCTTCCCACGACATTCCCCTCTCCACACTCACCTGTGAACAGACACACACAGAGTCAGGTACTGTTGATGTGATATAACAGCATACTGAAGGGCAAATTAATATGCATTAACTCACAGTGTAGAGTTCAACATGTCCAGATGTAGTATAGCCTGGTGTTAAGAATTTCCTGCAGTCTACCTTCTTCACTTTCTCATCACCAGAGCCAAGGTCTGATAGAAGTAAAGGGCAGAAAGATATTTATACAAGGGATACATTTAGAGTCAGATGTAATGTAGCTTTTAAATTCTAACTTCAGAGCAAATATGTGATAAAAAGAAAAGGAATAATTTACCATTTATATCATAAAAGCCACTCAAAAAAGTTTCGCCTCTATTTGTGAGGAGAGTTGAAAAATCAAGTGAATAAAGATTTACACCATCTTACCGAGAATGCCCATGTCGTATCTGCCATTCTTCTTGGCTTCCTGAATCACTGCTGCCAGCGTGTCGGAAAAGTACTGGAACAAGGCGTTCTGCTGCTGGACCTCCATGCCCAAAATACGGTTGAGGAACTTCCCCATGTTGTTGTAGTCTGTAGCAGTAACACAACTGATTTAACCATTTTATTGAAACTGTACATGCATTTAAAAAATACATTTAACAGCACAAAATATGTACTTAGTACCTAATGTAAATAATTATAGTGTTAACATACAGTAGCCTAATGCAGCGGTGGCAAAGCAGGCTAACGTTAGCCTTTAAAATGTTTTTTTCTGTCATTCTTTGTCACAGAAAAGCAACTAGCATTGTTGAAAATGTGACATTGCTTGCTTTCATTTGATACACTCAACATCTTGCTTCAATAAATACTCTGATGGCTGAGAAGTTGTTGCAAAGTGTGTCTGTTAAGCTTCACCAGCTAATCCATAGTTACAAAATTACCTTTGTCCAGTGACAGAGAGCCAGGTCTGTCCTCCACATTTATGAGACCCACACCTATTAATCCACTTTGAATTTCTACAGAAGAAAAATGCAATTAATATTCAGTATTCACATTGATTGAAAAACAAAAACTATGTATGCATTAAATACAACATCTACAAAGTGAACTAAATGAGCAGCAAACATAACAGTGGCAAACTAAATGAGAAAAAATTCCTGTCCTTGCTTGATAAAGCACATGAGTCATACCTTTAAAGAAATCCCCTTTAAAGTCAGAGGGCGGAGACACTAATGGAGCATCGAGCTTCACGATCGACTTCATCACAATTTCCAGAGCGTTTCTGCCGTACTGCAGCAGTGATAAATGTGAGTGAGTCACTGGTAAATAAAGATGATTAGACCTTTTTCAGATAAACGCTCGGTGTGCTTACTTTGTTGTCAAAATTGAACCTGCTGAGATCTCGAGTTTCTGTTGCTCTTCTGTCTCCATGAGTGAGAGCACCCTGTTACAAAGAATGAACACAAACAAAGTCAGTGTTTTGGATAACTGATTGTTTAAATACCATTTTACCCGAAATAAGTCATAACTAAGAGTGTAAGCACTCACCAGACTTTCTAGTCTTTTGGCAACGATGGATGCAAATCTCTGCTCTCCTGCAAGCTCTGAGATGAGGAAGACGTATTCAGGAGCAGTGACCTGGTTCGACCTGTGAGTTCTCCCTGTGTCCAAACAAGCAGCAGAACAGCAACATTGGTAGATTTGACACATACCGTTACTTCAACTTTGTTAGCAACATTTCTAACTTGCTCAGATACAGAAGATACAGTTCAACCATGTCTTCAGTGTGCTTTCGTAAAAAAAGGCCTTGAAGCGCTACTATCTACTGACCAAACTGCTGTATAGCTCTGTCTGCACTCCACGGCAGCTCCAGAGTCATGTGGACTCTCCGCCGCTGGTTCTTCACCCGACGGTCAGCCTGCAGGGATATACCTGAGCTGGCAGCTTCTGAGATGATGGATATGTTCTAGTTAAAGAGAGACAACAAAGCATGAGTTTTCACAAACGAAGGTGGAATCAGCACCTATGATTATATATATTATATATATATATACACACACACACGGCAGACAGACAGATGACTGCAACAGAGCACATCTTTAGCAGGAGCAGGGTAAAAGTAATAATATCAGTTCAGATAGTTTGAAAAAATGGTAATTTGATTCAATAATTGATCCCTAATAGCAACATATTTTCAGTTCAGGTTTCAAAAACTATTTTCCCAAAAGCGTTCTCAGGGTTAAAGATGCCTCTCGTGCACTGGGAACACAACTAACAGCTATTTTCTTGTTAACGGATTCATTGATTAGCTCATAAAATATCTGAAAAAAAGGTGAAAAATGTCAGTGTTTCTCAAAGCCAAAGATGACATTCTCAGATGTCTTCTTTTTACACAGCCCAAAGATATTCAGTTTACTGTCACAGGGAAGGAAATAAATCAAAAAAGCTGCAATCAGAGAATTTACTTTGTTCCCCTTTAAAAATTGTGACACTAAATTCTGGATGCAGGCACAGATAAAAGGAACACAGTTGCTCAAAAGGTTTCTGTTCCTTGGGAAACCCTACTGCAGTGAAAATTCATATAAATCTGAATAATCCCAAATAACAATGCGTTTTGACGCCCTTAAGCATTTGAATAAGTTCACAAAATTGATGCAGCAGGGGTGCAAAAGCCAAATAAAGGTAGTGTAGCGTAAGTTGCCGTTGACTTTACAATTGATGCAGCTGAACACCCAGATATTTCACTGTGTGAAATTATGGAGGTCGACTTTTGAAAAAACAATAACTTCAATAGTTTTACTAAAAAAACAAGCCATATGAGTTTTTAATAAGGCGGGTTACTGTGGTCACATTAAATCACTGCTTCCGAAGTCTCATATCAACCAATGCAATGATTTGGTAAATTAAAAAATAATGCAAATGATTTCCAGACTAAAATTAAAGTCACTCTCAGACTGAGTACAAGCTGTGAACATCAAAAGCTATATGGAATAATGATACATTTTAAAATATTTAATTCACTTTTGGTTTAAAAAGAATGGTTTCAAAGCTATTTTAAGGGATACAAGTGTGTATGATAATTATGATACTTTCTGGTAGCCTAAATGGATCAGAAGGTATACTGGCCATAAAGGAGCATTGTTCTACCAGAGTGTGTTCTGTCACTAGTTAATGCACAGACTGCTGATTTAGTTAATATTGTGCAATGACCATCATCTGGCAAGGCACTGCATTG